GCGGCTGGGTGTCGACAGCGGCGCGCTCAGGGCCAGCTGGTGACGCACCCCGAGGGCCCGACGGCGCGGGGTCGGCTGGCAACGCGCCCTGAGAACCAGACGGCGCGGGGTCAGCCGGTGACCTGCCCCGAGGGCCCGGGCTGGTCAACACGATCTGTGGAGGACGGGTCCCTCAGCGTGGCTGATCGATCCTCGCCCAGGCAGTCGAATGTCTGCGTGTCGCCATCGTGCGAACGGTCTGTTGTTGCCGTGCCTTTGCCCCGGGGACCCGGTTCCCATTGACCCTGGCCCCTGGGTTCGGGTCCCAGGGAGCGCACTGTTCGTCCTGACCCGACGTGCAGCGGCGAGCCGGCACACGGACGGAGCAGGTCGCGCCGACGCCTCGAAGCTGTGTCATGTCATGTCACGCCGTCACTCCACGGCGCGGGCAGACCATTCATGGATCCGGTCTGACGAAATAGCGGGGCAAATGTGTCTGGCAAACCCGAGTGAGTGGCCACACCTGGTCTGTCGGCCAACACTGGAAGTAACGAGCGTTACGTAACGGTCACTCTCGCCGGTGCCACACCAGGAAACCGATCGGAATACATTTTGAAAGCGTGTTGGACATGTGCTAGGTGTTTATGATGTCTGCGTAGCACGCGTTGCGTCTGTTCTGGGCGTCTGCACAGTGTCTGTCGTACCGGACGGTGTCGGCCGGTCGCGGACGTCTGCCGCTCGTCGAACCTTCACGCGTGGCTTGTGAGACGTCTGTCACTCGTCGGCTTCGGACTGATGTGTCCTCTGGGAGTCTGTTCCCGGCCGCGTGTCGATTTACGTGCGCCGCCGTCTGTGGGACGTGGTCGAATTCGCATCCTGCCCTCCCGCACGGCAGCTGTGAGTCGGACGTGCTGCGCTGTGTGGGTGGCCCTCTCGGACCAGCATGGTGGGTGGCTCCGGAGGCCAGGCCGTGCAGCGGTGCCCCCCCCCCCCCCCCAGCTCTAACGGGACAGGACGTGACGCTGTCCGGAGGCGCGGCTGTGGCGAAGGTCGGAAGACGAGCGAACGCCAGAGCTGCCGCGACGGGCCATATGGCGGCGGCCTATCACGAGTCCAGGGACGCGTCCATCGCGAGTCCAGGGATGCCTCGATCCAGCCAGACCGTCCACCGAGAACACCGGTGCAGACAGGCCCGTGGCTGAGGCCCTGGCTAACGGACACCGTAATGAACTTCCATAACCGTGGCAGGGCGTAGGTAAACACGCTTACGGCGCGCGAGAGCGAGAGGGCCCGTTTTTATCAAGGCCCGCTGTCGCTCCGGCCATTTCGTCCAGAACCCGCGGCGATAGTATCGCCCTCGGCAGCAAACACCGGTTGGTTATTCTCCGCAGGCGTGCCCCCGCCGTTGCGGGCCGCGGCGGGACGGTCGGACCAGCGCCGTCTCTGAGGCTGCAGCCCGGTCGAAGCCCGGACGCCGTCGAGCGGCCTCGGCTGACCGGCCGGCAGACGGCCCCGGGCCGAGGGCCAGAGCCGGCGCTGGCCGCGATGTCCTCGCCACCCAGCGGGCCGTGGCGTCTCAGTTCCGACCCGACGGAAGCCGCAGTCGGAACGTCCCGGGGCGCTTTGTCGGCGCCGCCGGCGCAATGCGGCGTGACCGTTGTCCCGGTCGGTTCGCGCCGCCTCGCCTCGCTCGCCTTGCCAATGTTCCGCGTACTTTGGAACTGGGACAATCGCTGCTCGCGCGTGCGGCGCCACGCAAGGGCTGGCAGCGTCTCTGTGCGGCTGCGGGCGGCCCGCCCGGGGTGGCGTCCGGCGGCTCCGCCGGCGACAGGCATGCGGACCTGGCCGGCCCGCCCTGACCGGGCTGACCCACGCCAGGCCCCGGCGGCCGCTGTTGCTGAATCCTGGTGGTGACAGTGTATTCCATGGTAAACTTGTACGCGGTGGATTAGTGCATAGCTCGCAGCTTGTATTTGGACGTCTCGTCTTGCAAAAGAACACGTTATGGTAACGACGATGAATGAACGCTGCAGCATGGAAACCTGTGCATGACAATGCAGAACACGTACAGCAGGCGGCCGGCTGCTGGGTGCCGGTGGTGTGTCGCTACTGCCGCGACTTGTTGTGGACGGAGAGCGACCCGTGGGCTTGCCTGCCGGCCTGGCGAGGTCTGAACTTACGGGATTGGCGCGATCGCTTAGGGTGGGGCCTGGCCTGACGTCACCGGCGGCAGGTCAGGTCAGGTCAGGCGGACCCCGAATCCGCCAGTGTGCCCTGAAGACCACGTCGAGGGGGAGGCCCCATCAGTTTTCTCTGTGGCGGCACCACTCTGTTCACTGGAGTCTCACCGACTGATCAAGCGAAGGCCGCCTGGGCTCAGCCGGGTGCCTGCCGCCGAGCCCGGTCCTGGCGCCCGCTCTGACCGCTGTCCGTCCTGCTCGGGTCACGGGCGGCAGCGCCGTGCCCGCCCCGGCGGAGGACCGCCCCGGCGCCGCCGCCGCCTCGGCCTCGGTCCAGGCCCCGACCGCCCAGGCTGCCGCCGCCGCCTCGGCCTCGGTCCAGGCAGCGATCACCTAGTCCGCCGCCGCCGCCCGGGTCGGCTTGCGATGCCAAATGACGGGCCGTCGGGTGCGCACGGAATACTGCTCTGTGGGTAAGTGGTGGGGCAGTGCAGTTTGCAGAGTTGCAGGCCATTCGGGGCGGCGCCGGCGGCCGCGCGCGCCACGGGCCGAACGGCGCTGCTTCTCATGCGGCCGGCTCGCTTATTGCGCATGACTGCATTCGTACGCGGCATTGGCACACGGCGTACTTGCACCGGCATGCCGACAGAACTGAGGCGTCACGCGATCGATAATGGCGGCCACTGGCGCGGCGGTCTGGGCAGCGGCGGGCCGCCAGCCAGCCGTCAGCCGTCAGCCAGAGCGGTCCTCGTGCCCTCCCGCCGGCCGGCCGCGGCCTCTGCAGCGGCTCGGTACACACGGCCCCGGCGACAGCTGGCCGCGCCGGGTGTGGCGTGCTTGCCGCGCGTGGGAACGTCCTGCACGGCGGCTGCGGTCGGCCGCGCAGGCCGGCCGGGGCGGTGGCCGCGGAGCAGGATGGCACCGGGCTCGGCCGGGCCGGGCCGGACCGGGGGCGCCGCCGTGCTGTTGCTCTTGTTTATCCCATTGGGCGCTGAATGGTCGGGGGACCTCGACAGAGCTGCGTGGGCAGCTGTGAGTTTAGCGGATGAGGTCCAGGAGAGCGGTGCGTGCCACCTGACTGACCCGCCCGGAGTTGACGAGCGCGGGTGCGTCTCGCCTCGGTCCGCCCCGGGGGACGCATGACCTGACCCTGGAGCGCGAGCTGCGGACGGGTGGCGTCCCCCCGCCGCGGGAGGCGGCGCGCTCGTCACCACCGTCGTCCGCCGCCGCCCACCCGCTGAGTGCAGGCTCTTCTTCCATCGTGTCGGACCATTACGCGGCCGTCATGAGCGTCGGAGCCAGAAGGCTTTCGTCACGTCGGCCTGTGGCCAGATGGCCGCTCAAGTTTGCTTGTCCCTGAACTAGTTGGCGTCTGGCTGACATGTGGGTCATGAACATGGCGGCTCGCTGGCCGTGTCGTCTCGTCTGATGAATGGTGAGAACTCTCAGCTGTCTGATACGGTAACTGCATAAATGATGGTGTCATCAGTTGCCGCCGTGACACCCAAAGTGGCGGTCCGCCGCGGGTCAGCCGGTGGCGAGCTGTTCCTCCCTGACTGGCCTCAGGTGGGCGGTGGGAAGAGCTAGGCTGGCCGGACTCGCGGCTCGGTCGGCACCCCTCAGAGGTCAGTCCAGGGACGGCGAGACGATCAAGAACATTACCATCAGCATTGGCGACCCCGCACGTGGTTGCCTTACAGACGTACGCGTCGCCTCCCCTCCGCTCTCCAGAAAGTCGAAACAGGAGCGTGTGGTTTTGGCGATGGGACAGGATGGACAATGGTCCGCTCCTGCCCTGGCCCTCCACCACCTGCGCGTCTGACACCATCGAAAGCCCGCTCGCCGACGACAGGAATAGCCAGTTTTGGATCGGGGGGAGGGGGGGGGGATATGTGAGTGTGTCGCCGGCGGGGCGGGCCGTCCTGCGCGTCACAAGGCCGGCAGCAACAGCAGCAGCAGCAGCAGCAGCAGCAGCAGCAGCAGCAGCAGCAGCGGCAGCGGCGGCAGCGGCAGCACCAGTAGCTGACCGATGGACGGTGCTCGCTGGCCGACACGCCGCGGCGGCCGCTACACGCCGCCCGTGTACCCGATCCCGGCCGCACATCCCAGCGGACGGTGTGCAAACAGAGCCGGAGAGAGCTCGCAGGGGACGCCGCGGGGCACGCTCGGCTGCCGGGGGAGCGGCGATGCCTCGATGACTGGTGACGGCGGTCCGCAGGGGCCGCCGCGCTGCTGCTCTTTTGAGAGGAGCGTGACGGGCGGCGGCACTCAATGGGCCCCGCTGCCGGGGAGCCGAGCCGCCACCTGCAGCCGGGCATTGATACGGCCGGCGCCGCGCCGCCGTTGACTGACGGATCACGCTCGCTCGCTTCCCTGGCCGCCGTCGGCCGGCGGGGCCGGCGACAGGCGCGGAGAATCGAGGGAGCGGTCCGACCCCGGCGACCCGGACGGAACGCGGTCCGTCACGGACCGCGGGCGGAGCGGAGAAGGCACCCCGCCTACGGATCGGCGGGGTTTGCCTGGGGCTCTGGGAACACCGGTGCACCAGTTTGAAACAAAGCAACCGTTCTGGGACACGGGTGGTGTCGAGAAAAACAACATGGCCCTCCTCCTTACGGGCGGTTTGGACGCTCAGGCCGCGGGCTCTGGGGTGTCGGCCAGTGACTGATTGTTATCGTCCGGAACCCGAACAGAAGGAGCCGGGCGCCCGCTCCCCCTCCCCCGCCCGCGTGTCGCCCCTCCCCTCCCCTCCGTCTCCGCACGCAGCGCCCGCGCCGCCCGCGGCCCCGTTAGTTGGCGCGGCGGCCGCCGGAGTGGGGTGGCGCTAGTGAGCCGGGCGCTGACGCGTACGCCGGCGAGTGCACCGCCGCCTGCGTGAGGAGGCGGGCGGTGCAGCCGGCGGGTGCCAGACACCCGAACAGTGAGTGTTGCGGCGGTGCGGGCAGTGCGTGAACGGCGCGGGGCGCGTGCGCGGACGTGCGCCGAGGGCGACGGTGCTGGTCACCGGACGCCGCCGGCCCGCTCACCTGTGGATCCGGCGCGGACGCCGGTCGGCGTCGGCCGGCCGCGGCCGCGGTGTTCGCCTCGCGTGCCGTGTCGGGCGGCCGGCAGCGTCGCCGCGCGGACTGAAGGTGGCGGACGGTGATACGCGGGTCCGCGGGAGGCGTCTGTCCGCGGGACGGCGGGAGACGCGTGCGCGCGGCACGTGGTGGGCCTGCGCGCAGTGGACGACCGGGTGCTGATGGTCAGCGACCGCCGCGGCGCCGGCCGCCGGGTCGGGCGGCGGGGACGCGCGAGCGGCGTCGGCCCGATCGGCGCGCGGGCGTCTCGTTTCGTATTCGTTGTGCGACCGGCCTGGTTCTAGTTGGACGAGCGACGTCTCGCCCGGAACGCCATCCGGGGAGCGCTGTGCCCTCCGCGCGGCCGCTCAGCCAGCCTCGACGAGCCAGCTGAGCCGGACAGTGTGCGTCGCCCGCCGCACCCAGCGGCCGCTAAGACGGCTCACGGCGAGCGGGCGCCGCGCCGCTCGTCCGGCGGTCTGCGCTCGCTCGTCGCAGCGCCACCGGCGCCCGTTAGGCTCTGCTCAGGCCGGAGTATACCGGCCATTTCACTCTGCATAGCAGATCCGTGCCGCGCGGGGCCCCGGGCGTCGGTTACTCACCCCGATATCCATCTCTTCCATAAATTATCTCGCGCGCGGATCAGCACCGTTGCACGGGCACGTGCGGCCGCTCCCGAGAGCCGCGCGACGCCCGGCGCGCGCGGTCGGCGCGCCGTGCTCGGCCGTGCTCGGCCGCGCTCGCCGGTACGCCCCGAGGTCAGCTCGCCGCGACCCGGATCCAATATCGCCTCGGGCGGGGCCGCCGGGCTCGGCCGGGGTATTTATGCGCCGACACTGGCGGCGCGGCGCGCGACCTGCCTGCGCAAATGAGCCGATCTAAATCCGCGGAGGCGCGCGCGGGCGCCGGTCGCCGGCGGCGGGGTCTGATGGCGCGCCGCGGGGTCTCGTGGCGCGCCGCGGGGCCCGGTGGCGCGCCGCGGGTACGTGCGAGGCGGGTCAGCTCCGCGTCGCGCGTCTGGCCGCTCGCCGCCGCCCCGCGCGGGCCCGATGTCGAAAGCTCCAGCGCGCTGTCAATGCGGGCACCCGATGAGTTATGGCCGGTCGCTTACCACCGTAATTATGAGTGCTTTCATCGGCGTCAGGTCGCCGCGCGCTGAGCGGTCGGGGCGGCGGCGCGGGAGGGGCGGCGATGGTGCGGGGCGACTGTCGCCGCGGTCGGACGCGCCCAGCGGAGGGAGGGGAAGATGGACGACAACGGCGGCTGCTGCCGCACGCCCTGCTAGCGTTTGGTCCCCGCACCCACCACCACCCGGCGTCGGCACTGTACTCAGCGAGGGGAGGGGGTGTAAACGCGCGGGCGCGGACCTCAAGCTGCCACGTCCGCCCGGCGGGGGTTGTCGTGATCAGCGTTTCAGCGATTCGCCCTTGACGCCATTGCTGTTTCAATTTGATCGAGCGGTGTCGTCATCGCGTTAGGGCTCGCCTCTCCGTCCGTGGCGGCGTCATATCGCGTCTCGGCTCAGTTGGAGCTGGGGAGGGGCGAGGTAAATCTGGCCTGAGCTGGGGTCAGGACGGACGGGTCAGGAGTCAGGACGCGTGGTGGCGCCCTGAAGGGGGGGACCAAACGCTAGCAGCGCGCTACGCTTCAACAGAGAGACCGCCGGCGACCGTCGCCATGTCGCTCAAGAGGAAAAAGAAGGCCGCCGCTGAGCCCGCGTTGGAGGCGTCCAACAAGCGCTTCAGCACGTACAGCTTCAGCGAGCTGAAGATCCCGGCCATGCCGGTGCTGGAAGCCGACTACGAGGCGGAGGTGGAGCAGAAGCTGACGGAAATGTCGCTGGGCCAGACGGGCCGCACCATCGACAGCTGCAACTACGTGGGCCGTGCCGAGCTGCTGTGCGAGCGTCTGGAGCCGGTGCCAGAGTTCCGCGTGCCGGCGTCGGCCGCGCCTCGCCCTTTGCTGCCCAAGTCGGCGTCGCTGACGGAGAGCCTGACGTCGGCGCCGGTGCCGTCGGCGGCCGGCGTGCTGCCGGCGCCGGCGTCGCTGCCGCCGCCGCCCAGCGTGACACAGCAGCGGCTGTACCGGCGCTCGCTGAGCACGGCGCTGCCGCACTACTGCAGCCTGGAGCGGCGGCCGCGCCAGCCCGGCCGCGCCCACGTCTGGATGGTGCGCAGCCAGAGCTTCACCGACGTGTGCCAGCCGCTGCCGGCGGCGGCGGCGGCCGGCCTGGGCCTGGAGCTGGGCCGGCCGCCCCTGCGCGGCGGCGCCGGTCGCGCCGACGACCGCGAGCGGCGTCACTCGCTACGGCGCAGTATGCGCGCCCTCAGCGGCAGCTGGAGGAACCTGCTCAAGCAAGGTAGGTGTGAAACAAGCGTCTGGGACGCGCTCGAGCTCGGCCGAACCGGGAAGGCGGCGTCGCCGGACATCTGAGCAGCGTGAGAGCGGCGGCAGCGACCGCGCTCGAGGCGTTGCAAAACACGCAGCTATCGGCGCGAGAGGCGGGACCATCGCGCCCGACCGTCTGGTGATATCGTTCGGTAATCGTGACAGCTGTTGCGGGAAAGGGCCTATCGGGGGCGCGATGGACGTCGTCGTCGTGCAGAGCCGTGCAGCCGGCGGCGGACATGCTCGCCGCCGGCTGCAGCCGTGCAGGCGGGCGGCGCCACACGCCGCTCGTCTCCTGCGTACCGCGCCCCGCCCAACCTTGGCGCCGGCGAATCCGCGCGTGCGAACGCGTCGGCGGCCGCGCGCTCCGTGGGCGGCTCCTCGCGCGCCGGGCGCGGTCGGCGCGGCTCCATTACACGGGTCATCAGGAGCAGGCGGAGGAGGGTGGCTCCCGATCAGGGGTCACGCACCGCGCCGCCAGCGCGCCGCGGCACGTAGCCAAACACGGCGCCGCTTGGCCGGAGCTGCTATCTGGCACCGCTGATAGCAGCGCGGCTGATAACGGCGCCGGGTCAACAGCGACCGCTGGCGAGGACTGCCAAAGTCAGCAGCCGAGTGGGCGACGTGCCGCCGACGCACTCCGCCGGCGGTGGTGGGGACGCACTCCGCCAATGGCGGTGGGGACGCACTCCACCGGCTGCGGTGGGGACGCACACCACCGGCGGCGGCAGCGTCGCGTCTCGCCCTGCAGGGCTGCTGCGGCTACGCTGGGAAGCCGTCTTGCGTGGCCGGAGGCCGGAGGCCGTGAGGCGTGGACCGTCTCATGCAAACAGCCCGTTCACAGAGCCCGCACACGGGGCTGTCGGCCGAGGCGGCTCGGTGTTCCGGGCGGACAGCACACTGCCCGGCGAGGTTTGGGAACGTGCAGGCCGAGGTGCCCAACAGCCAGGACAGCACTCCTTCGTTTGGGCGCCAGTCCGGACAGCGCCCTGCAGAGCTGCATGGCTGGCACACTTCTGCTCGACCCCCACACATGTCCTCAGCTAATCTCTGCACTTGTCGGCGGGTGTCAGCCAGCAGCGCCCGCATGGCCGTGTTGGAGCGACATGCTTGAATGCAGGCCGGTCGTGGGACGTCACCAGCGCGAGCGCGACACGTGCCGGCGGCGGTGGCTGACCCGTCCGGAGCTGTGGCGGGTTGCAGTGGCGGGTGGCCGGCCGGAGGAGATCCGGTCTCCCCCAAAAACCTGAAACGTCAGGCCACGTATGGATTGTTTGGCAACGTGCAACGTGCAGCGACCGAACAGCGCATCGAGATACGATCTTCGAATCTGAAATATTCCGCCTTCCTGTCCCGAAAGAGGATCGGCTTGCAGTGAGGCACGGCGACCGCGCTGTCTGGCCGGCAAGGCGGGTCTGCGGTCGTCCGGCGGGAGAGGCGGCGAGCGTCCAGACCCGGCCGGGGTGCCGCGCGGTGACCTGTCCTCTCGCGGCCGGCGCCCCTGGCCCCCTCCGGCGGGGAGGGGGGGGGGGCGGGGTCACGTGTCTGTGAGGTCAGCGCGAGGCGCAGAGATTAGCTGCTGCATCTGGTCCATTTATCTGTCTCGCGGGTGGATTATCGGTACGAGTGCGGCGCTGCCCGGCGGGCGCTCGCTGTGGACCGCGCTGACCGCCGTCCCAGCTCCGCGGCTCTGTGTCGGTCTGGCGGTGCGTGGCTGGCTGGCCAGCGTCAGCCTGTTCCGGCAGATCCTGACCTTGTTTGCCTCTCCCGAAAGAAAGGGATTACTGTCTGTGTGTGTGCAGATTGGTGTGAACGTATAAATATGGCACTTTGACTGGGGGCGCGGGCGGGTTGGTGGGGAAATTGGCTTTGGTGTTGCATGCGATTTTCTCGGAAGGTAGCGGCGCTTCGATTGGCGGATTACAGGTTTGCCGTCGGTCCGATGCCGCGCCCACCTCGCTTCGTTAGATAGGATTATAGGCGAGCCGGCCGTCTCAGTTGCACGCTCCACGTTAAGTAACCAAATGTACGGGCTCTCTGGCGGAGCGGCACGGCAGAAGCGTGTCGTGGCGGCGCCGATGGGCGCTGACGTCGCCTGACCGATCGCCGCCGCTCGGTCAGCCCAGCCTGGCGCGGCGCCGCCGGAGCACCGCCGGGGGATCGCCCTGCGCTGGGGTGCCGGCGGGGGATCGCCCTGCGCTGGGGTGCCGCCGGGGGATCGCCCTGCGCTGGGGTGCCGGCGGGGGATCGCCCTGCGCTGGGGTGCCGGCGGGGGATCGCCCTGCGCTGGGGTGCCGGCGGGGGATCGCCCTGCGCTGGGGTGCCGCCGGGGGATCGCCCTGCGCTGGGGTGCCGGTGGGGGACGGCCGCCGCCTGCGCACCAGCCCGCGGCATGGTGCGGTGCAGTACCGAGCGCAGTGGCGCCCCTGCGTGCCGCGCCGGCGCGCTGTGTCGTCGCAGGCGCCTGATCCAGTGGCGTGTAGGGCCGCGGCCAAGGCCGGTCCTTGCTGCGCGGCGGCGGCCGGACGGGTTTGTCGCAGGACCGGACGACATCCTGGAGCGATGCGTCGGCCGGCGCCGGCCTGCGCCTCGGCCGCGGACCGGGCGCCGCCGGCTGGCCGGTGCCGAGGACCGCAGCAGTTCCCGCCTCCGTCGGCACCGCAGCACGGAGAGACCCCAGCGTCGGTGGCGCGCCAGCTCCGGCCCGTCCGGCACGGCTGCACGAGACGCGGCGTGTCACGCCACGCTGTGCGCGGCGGCCGGGCGGGTCCATCAGCGTCAGCGGCGGCGCTGACGGGCCGGGCGGGAGCTGACGGTGATCCGGCGCCGGCAACGGCGCCGAGCCCGGCCGGGAGCGGCGCCGCGAGGCAGCGCGTCGTCCGCCCGGCCGGCGGCGCTCCCCGTTATTAACCTGATCCGACGGAGGCCGCCGCCGGCGGCCAGCGGCTTTCACAAACAATGTGACCGGCGGCGCTTTGTTTTTGTGCGCTGGAGCAGTGCGCGGTCCGACGAGGAATGCGCTCGGAACAGCATTGGTCGCGGTTTATCAGCGTAAGTGGCATTGCCGCGCTGAATACCCGTGTGGGAAAAATTGTAATAGCTCCCGCCCAGCGGGGTAGTCTGATCATGTGCCAGTGGATGTTTCGTGGCAAGAAATACGTCTCGGCTTGGCGCCACTTGCCGACGTTGAATCTGTCTGTAAGGCTGTCAAACAGCAGCAGATTGTGCTGCGCCCATTCTCGCCTCGGGAGCAGAGCCGACAGATTGAGAGCGCACGCTCTTCGGGTTGAGAGCGCACGCGTCAGCAGTGCGCCGTGTCATCTCTGTTCGAAGTCCACGGGCTGCTGCCATCGCACCGTCCTCGGCCCCATCGTGTCCATTCATCTGGCCTAGTTTGGCGCGGCGCCGGGGCAGCAGGCTCGTTGTGTACACAGAGCAATCGGAACCGCGCCATGCCACGGATCTGCGCCGCTTCGCCAGCGGCCGCCCTGCACCGGTGATGACTTCCAGGCTCGGGCGGGGGGGAGGAGTATGGTCTTGGATGTGACGGAACAGCGCAGAAGACTTGCGGCAGGCACGTAACCAAGGTCGGTCGTTTAAAGGGAGGTGCTCCGCACGATACGGACATTCATTGGAAGAGGAGGGGGAGGGGAGATCTAATCCAGGGGAGCACCTGTATCCCCCAGCCATGGCTGCGTCCCCGCTCGCTTCCCCCAGCTCGCCGGGCCGCGTCGGAGGCCGCGAGCCGTCATGTCCGACGCCCGCCGACCGGCAGATGGCGCGGCGATTGCGAGTGGGCGTTTTTCCATTTAAAAGTCGTGACTGGCGCCGACCGGGCGCCGTGACCTTGCTAGGCTGGCTGGGGACGGGCGCGGCCGCCGGCTGGGGACGTGCCGGGACGCGAGATGATGGAGAGGCCGCTGGCAACAGGCGCGGACGGCGGCGTGCGTCCTCGGGCGCCGGCCCGGCCCGCCGCGGCCTGGAAGCTGGACGCAGGCGGCGCAGCTCACTCCTCTGCCGTCATAGTTTACTATCTGCGCGCATCAGGGGCGTAGCCGGCCGACACCGTGCGTGTTTTTCCTCAGCCGCATGGGTGCGTGCTATTAAAATAAATCAAGATGTCTCTCAGATGGTCGTTACGCCGAGCCGGGGGCTGTGGTTCGCGATGTTTGTCCTCGCGGTGCTCCTGCGCGCGCTGGCCGGGCTCTAATGCCCGCATCTGTCGGCGGCCCCCGGACGTCCCCTGGCCGGCGGCGGTCCGAGGGCTCCGCCGAGTCCCCTGTCTCCGGCGCTCGGCCGGCCGCCGGCGCGCGGGTGTCGTGTGTCAGGCGGGGGAGGCGCCGCCGGGAGGCAGCGGGCAGCGGGCGGCGGGAGGGCCCCGCGCCGGACCCTCAGTCCGCCCGGTGCCGGGCTGATTCAGAGGCCTCCTGGCCCTGAGAGTCCTTCAGAGGCCTTAGAGGCCTTCAGAGGCCACGCTGGCCTCCGATCCCTTGAATTGCTCGTCAGACCGGCGGCAGCCGTGTACCGTCTCGCGTGGCTCGTTAGGGGCCGGGCCGGTCGCCGCCGGCCGGCCGCCGCAGTCGGCAGCGACGCCGCCGGGCACGCGGCGCAGCGAGGGCGGCCGAGGCTGGCGCGCTCCGTCCCTCTCAGCTGGCCCCAGAACAGGCGCCAGTGCATCTCGTTCCCAGCCTCGGCGCGTAGTTACTGCGTGCTGCCCAGGCGGGTGGCTTATCTTCACACGTGACCGGTGTCCGCCAGCTCTGTGTGCGGTCGCTGGACCGGCCGCCGGCCGCGGGCAGGGCCTGTCCTGCCGGGTGGCCTTGAGCCGCCGCCGTGCGCCGATCATCTGCGGCGAGGTACGTGGTCTGCCGCCGCCGCAGGCACGCCGCCCGGCCGCACACGAGTCCGGTCCGGTCCGGTCCGGTCCGGCGTCCGGGCTGGGGGAGCGCGTGGTCCAGCGGCGGCTGCGGG